CCTTTCCTGGAACTTACTCTGTGGCCCAGGCTGGCTTCGAACTCACAGAGATCCACCTGGCTCTGCCTCCCAAGTGCTGGGATTAAAGGCGTGCGCCGCCGCCACCTGACTTAAACCTTTTCTTGACTTAAATAAGAACCTTGAACATGCCAATAAAGCAAATGGAAAACTGATTTGTGAACAGAGGTGACAGTGGAGACAGCAATGTGTTTATCTTCCCGTTATTCTCCATCCACAGTTTATCTTAACCAGTTTCCAAATTTATTAGAGATGTTTATGTATCTTTTTAAGTTTTTAATATACATTTTGATTAAAATATAATTCCATGATTTTCCTCCCTCCAGTCTCTCCCAATTCCCCACCCTCCAATTTATCTTTTCAAGTTCTTAAGAAGTCTTGATTTGCAATATTATTTTAATAAATTAAATTATTTTTTCTAGTTTTGGTTTATTTGTTGTTACTCTTTTTCTAATCTCTTGAACTGATGTTTTATGGGGCTTTAGAGAAAGCCTAGATCCTTGCACATATTGAGTAAGTGCTGTGCACTGAACTATATGCCCTGCACTGAACTATATGCCCAGTACTTTAATTTCTTGAATTCAAACTCAACTTCATTGTTCTTACAAAAGCATTCAAGGCTAGGAATTATCCTCTTTGCAGTGTGTTTGGCCATATCATTTTAAACGGAAAGGAATTTTGGCACCTGTTACAATACAGATAAGCTTTAAAGGTGTTATGTTAAGTGGAATAAGCCAGACACAAAAGGACAAACAGTATATAGAGGTAGTGGCGTGTAGAGGTAGTGGCCTTTAATTCCGGCACTCAGCAGGCACAGGCAGGTGCATCTCTGAATTAGAGGCCAGCATGGGCTACAGAGAGAGTTCTAGGACAGCCAGAGTTACACAGAGAAACCCTGTCTCGAAAACCAACCAACCAACCAACAAACAAAACCAACAGTATATCATTCCACTGATATGTGGTGCTTTCAAGTAGGCAGAAATCACAGAATAATGGTTTTCATGCACTAATGGTTATTGGTTGCTGGGTCCACAGCTACAATTTTGCAAGATGAAAAATTCTGGAGACCAACAGAATGTGAACTGTTGAACTGTATCCTCTGAAGTGGATAAAATAGTCAATTTCATGCTATTTATATTTTACCAAGTACCTTGCTGGTGGCTACTTTAGGTTTTATTTTACATTGTACGATTTATAATCACAGTAAAATATTTTGCAGGTGTGCTCTAAGGTAGAGAGGTCACTCAGCTTGTTTGGGGGCAAAGACGAACCTACAGATCTGTCACTTTAGCTCACTGCCTCTCAGCCCTTAGAAGGTGAGGTTGGGTGTCCTCCTACCTCACTTACTATCAAGTGAAGGACTTTCTGAGAAGTGAACACGTAAGTGTGTGTACTTACATACACCTGCCCTAATAAACATTTACATGGGAATTTCTTTGCTGAGAACATCTCATCTTGTAAGAGAAAGGAGAATCTGAGTCTCCACTGTGAAAGAACACCTGAGTTTCCTCAAATGGAGTATTATGCAGTGGACAACAATGATTCTTAACAATGAAAACGCTAAGATGCTCTTCTAATAGGTGATTTTAGCTATGTAAAAATATAAAAATGCCCTAAAAAGACTGGAAAGATTGGAATATCAACCATTAATAAGTGATTACTCTTGAGAAATATGAACACCTCTTCTTGTGTCTGTACGCTGTAGATATTTTCAATTTTCTTTTGCTATTTATAATCCATTTTTCTTTTTAAATTTCTTTTAGTGATGTACTATATTTGAAAACATATTCTTTTGTTTTAAAACATAAGTAGTAAACAAATAAATGTAATGCTCCCTTTCCAAGTACTCACATTCTCAGGTATGCTGGGAAGCTCTCTGGTATCAGGCACAGTGAAGTAAGAATGCTGGAAAAGAAAAAAACACAAGCTGCATATTCTTTCAAGATGAGCTAACTAGCATTTGATTTTAAATTTAAGTAAATGTTGTGAAGCATCTTCCTTACTCAGATGAGGAAGCTGTGTTTTCTTGTAGTAAATATCCACATTATAGCTGCTTAAGCTAATGTTGGACCACACTAGGAGCATTAACTCATAAGCACAAGAGATGAATGTCTTTGGGGGACATGAATGAAAAACTCAAAGAAGCTGAAGTCTAAATTCCCATGTGATATTTGCAGATTTCTGAACACAAAGAAGTGGACAGTTTTGTAATTTATTGCTCAATAGGGCAATGGATTCTTAGAAACCAAATGACACTAGATTCACTCACTAAGTGACAGGATGTCCCCACCAATCCTATAATTCTATTTCAGCATCTGAGGTCATATCAACCAATACTGTAGTCAAAATCTGCTCATATGATGCTCAGGACAGTCCAGACAAAGGCCACTCCATCTGAGATGGATACAGATGGCTGCCAAAGGAGGATGAGTTCCTCACTTACAGTGTGATTGTCATGGAAGAGAGCTGGAGTGGGTGACCAAGACTTCAAAGACATGTAATGAAGCATCTCCATGTTTGTAATAAGCCTGTGTCTATTTCCAAGTTAAATGAAAACTGGCTGGTCTAATGCCACTTCTGCTGCTGATTTTAAAGGCTCAGAAGATAATGGTAAGTGGTAGGGGAAGGAGCCTCATGCTAGACAATTAAAGATGGATTGTGAAAGGCTAGGAAAGCAAGGTTCAGCTCAGCCATGGCCTGAGCTCAGATCTTGACCTCTCCCCTAACCCCTAGCTCCTGGGTAATGGGAGAGTACATAGGTTTCTAGAAAAATGAATTGTATAGTCTTTCTAGAATAAAGGGTCCTGGAGGCAAGCTGTTATGAATGATGGCAACAATAAGCTACTTGTCTGACACTCAAAAGAAATTTACTGAATATCTGCTTATGGAAAACTTGACATTAAATACTTTATAAATATCACTTCTAATTTCCACAGTAAAATTTGAAGATAGATATTATCTCCATATTAAAAACAGACCAACCAATGTTCAGAGAGGCAAATAGTCTAGGATGACTATATGGAGGAACTAGGTTGGACCCAGAGTGGGGTAACTAACCACACCCTGGCCCTTTCTGCCACATCACTCTTATGTCTGTGCTTTCCATTCACAAACATAAAGGAGCTTGAGTGAGCACTCCATAGATGAGGCATTTAGCACACAATAAGTTGTACTTTATTTACTTACTTACTGTTTTATTTATTTGGACATAGGGTTTCACTATGTAGCTCCAGCTGGTCTGGAACTTGGACACAGACTAGAGTGGCTTTGGCCTGGCACTGATCCTCTTGCCGCTGCTTGCAGAATGTTGGCATTACAGGCATGCACTACCACATCCAGCTCAACAAATGGATTTTAATACGAAAGTATTATTGTTCAAACTACTAGTTTGCATATCTATTTTTCTCAATCACCTATATTAGCTACACAGGAACATTCTCTTGTAAAAAGTGGTTAAACAAACAAAGCCCAGGTTTGACATATCACCAATATTTTAGGATTTCTATTACAAATGAGATGTTAGCCCTTCAAATAGAAATGCATTTTGGGAAGAAGACTATCTACTGAAGAGGGGGAATCAGCCTTTACAGATGCAATGGATTATAAAGAGTGAGCTGGCAAAACTCTAAACCAGCTAGTCCCCAGGCTGTCCTTGGAGATTCTGACTTGCTCCATTGCCCATGAAATGCTGGGGACCAGGGGAGGTCAGAAACATTCCTAGAATCCACTGGAATGAAACAGCTGCACACCCAAAAGTTCCTCCTGTCCCTGAGCTGGCTTATCCTTGAGGCATGACAGCATGCTGCCTGTGCAGACATTTGGGGAAGGAGTGGCAGCTGGTGACCTGGCCAGGCTGCCCCACAGCTACCTGTCGGATGTCATTACAGACTGAAGCAGTGAGGTTCAAGCTGTTTAGGAAAAAAGACGGAGACAAAGGCAGGGTTGCTCTGCTTCAGTGATGACTGTGTCTAAAGCACACTTGCTTTTCTGGCAGTCCCTACTTCCCACAAGCAAATCCTCCATAAGCAAATTCCTTCCCTCTTTCCTGCTTCCCACCTCCCTCCTTGTCTCTGTCCCTTCCTCCTTTTAGCTCAGCATTGTAAAAGCTAGGCCATCATTTCTAAACCATATGATTTTGCATGCATACCTTTTCCTCTCTCAATCTTTCTTTTATGGCATGGGAATGTTAACACCTACATTGTGAACAATTTTAAGCACCAGAGGTGTATATTTAGTATAAATTAGGAACATAAAATAGATTTGTTATTGTTATCATTATTGACAATACTGTGGCTTTTGATAGCGTTCTGGTAAAACCCATCAGTTTACCTATAAAACCAGACACCTTTCTGATCCCTGAAACCAGCATTGTATCTGTTTCTTGAGAATCTGGAAGAGAAGACTCTCTAACCTGTCAGGGCTGTGGGATAGAGAGACAGGTCTGCATGATAGTGGGTGCTTGGCCAAAGGATGTCCACTACAGAATTCTGATAAAGAAAATGATAGCTTCCATCTAAAAGATCAAATAATTTAGTAACTGAATCATAGAAAAGATCCTATGCACTATCTGACAAATACGCTGAGCCTGTATAGTTAGAGGTCATGATTTAAGTCACTTCAAGCACTAGTAAAAGAGACAACTGGAACAGAAATTTCCCATCAGTTGGCTCAGAGTCTACCTTGGCACACTGCACAATGTGCAAGATGTATCTCAAAGCACTCAAAGAAATAATGACTGCTGTAGGCCAGGAATTATACTGAGAACTCTCGCTCTGTCTTCAACGGATGGAGACTGGAAACCAGCTTACTCCCACAGGATGGAACTAAGACTCCAAGAGCATGCAAGAAGATTAGGGCCAAAGAGAAGGCCTAATTCAGCCTGTGAGGTCAGGGGAGGATTTCTCAGGAAGCAGAATTGGTTTTGAAGGATGCACGAGTTAACAGGCAAAAAGGAGAGAGGTAATGTTGAACACTAAGGGTCCAGAATGGGCTTTGACTGTGATACAGAATAATATAAGTAGCCAAAGATGGAATGATGAGGCTAACAGCTCCAGCCATCCTATTCCTTGCATCTGTGACTAAGAATATGAGTGGTCATTTGGGAAGCATCTATTCTTCAGTGAATCTCAGAGAGAGGGATAATCCCACACTCCAGCCTGCCTTGAATCCAGGGCTCACACTAAGTAAGAGTGTGGCTCTGGCCTCTTCTGAAGGGCCATACAGACATTCTTGCTTAGGGTGGCCACCACTCTGCCCCACTTACCACGCTGAGATGAACAGACACTCCGGGGTCAGGGATGGGAAGTCGGTGCAGTGTTTCCAGAAGTTCATTCCACTGACTTTCCTGAAAAAAAGAAAAGGCCCAAGTAACAAAAGCTGGACCTGCAGTAAGGTCTAGGTGCACAGAGAGACAGATGGAAGACACTGGCCCCAAGACAGAAATATGTTTCATATTCAAGTAGGGCTGGATAAAGGACAGTGCTTATGGCTCAAAAATAAGAGCAAAACTGATCCTCCCACATCAAGTTTGACATTTTCTTTTCAGTCAGACACCTACCATGACCACCTTTTATGGATCATATACCATAAGCTCTCAGCACATCTATCCCTTCAACTCCATAGCAACAACTTCTAAATGCAAACAATCTGAGCTTCCAGGGCGGGGGTGGTTGGGAGAAATAACAATGACACTGTGGATCTTGTCTTCATCATCATTACCCTCAATTAATTTTATTGAGTGTTCACTGGGTACATGTAGCAGCCTCCAATTATGGAAAGTTAGAAATAAAGCAAGTTCACCAGCATGTGATACAGGAGAGCAGTCCTGCATGTTAATTAGGGAAACTGAGCAGCTGAATAACATACAAAGCAACACAAATTATTCGATTCAAAAGAGATTCGCCTTTAAGATGCTCAAAACAGCAGCACCCACAAAACGATTCAAAAGCCACTTCTATCCCATGGAATTCTGTGTGTTAATAAAAGAAAGTCAAGTTTACATGGGCAGCCATGTCCTAACTACTGGATCCTCTAGCCCAACCACTTGGGAAATGTGAAGGTCTGAAGAGGGAAGCACTAGTCTCATATTGGACAATAGGCTGCACAGCCCAGGAGGAAGGCAAGATTGCTGTGTCCAAGTCTGCAGCCCTCTCTGCCTCTGGTAGGGAGCCTGAGATGAAAGGGATGAACTTAGTTTACAAGCTTGATTCAGTATGTACTCTGACAATCAAGTTTCTTAGAGGACATTCAAGCTTGAATGTGTGTGCACAGGGTTAGTTTTGCTTTGAAGCAGTCTCACACCTACAGAACAATTTTAGAAACAGTCAAAGGCCCCTTCATTTCCTCGACTGTTTGAGAATGAGTTGTTGGCATTATACCTCATCATCTGCGTGTGTGTGTGCGCACGCGCGCGCGCACACACACACACACACACACACACACACACACCCCTGCACTTCCTCCAAACAACCTCGTTTAATCATCACAACCAGGAAATATGCCTCAGCACAGCATTGCCACCTAATCCTGTGCCTGCTGTGCTGCGTATATCCTCATGGCAATAAAATCAGTTGAGTGGCCTTCAGTAGAGCTGACTCTTGTGACTCCTTTTGTTGGAAAAATCCTTGTTTTTCCTAGATTTGTAGGACCTTGATTGCCCATTTTGCAGAATGAGTTTCAACTGTCAGATGTTTCCTTGTGAATCTCAGCTTGCCCTTTACTGAGGAAGTTTTCTTGCCTCTTGACTATTTCATCTCAGATCTCTATTGGACAACCTCTCCCCCGACATTGAAAAAGCATTTTGTAGCATGAAATTTTATGTAAGTATTCCATCCCCCAAGCTTTGAATTTAGCTGTTTATTATTTATCTTACTACAAGTGCATTGCTTTCATTTGCTGTCAGTATTTGTCTTGATGCTCCAGACTAAGGTAAATGGGAACCTCTTGGCCCTTATCCTTATTTTTGTGTCTTAAGCACATGTCCCCATCATATTTTGAATACTTTAAACTGGGGCACAAAAGACATTTTAGCATCATCTTACAGTTTTCCTACATGAGTCCTGGAAGTGGTCCATTTTTTAGAGAGCAAGGGCTCCTTTCCTTGGGGAGTATCTGCAGTCAGGTCTGGGAGCATGTGTGCTTATGCTTGGTTGTCTTTTGGGAATGCTGACACCAGGCCTTCAGTGGTCAGAGCCACCAACTACCACACAGACAGGCCACCACATGTGCTTCACATCTCAATTCACTTTTCTCTTCGCACACTTAAAGCCTTAGATTCACAAGGATGTCTCCAATTCCAGGCCAACACAGGAGTTACTCCTGTTCCTTTTCTTTGCATACTGTGACTACACTGCACAAAGGTAAAAAAGTCTCGTCCTATCTTGGAGCTAGGTCTTCCTATCTCATGCTCTGGCACCAAGCACTAAGTCACTACTGCTGATTCCCTTCCTGTTTGGATCTCTGAAGATCCCCACTGAGTTCTCACATCTCACATCATGTCTACTCCCACTTTCTCACATACACACCTTCATCTCCTTTGGCTCCAATACCCAAGCAGGCTGCCACCCAGCTCAGGTTTCCTGTCATTCCTTTTATGCAGATCCCCTTTCTGTCCTGTCCAGGATCTGACAACACAGGGGCCAGGAGGACCCACACAGAAATCCCTACACCCCATCTTTGACTACAACACTTGGTAACTCTCACTGGTTACACATATACCTTCCCAAATAGAAGCTTGCCTCATCCAACAATCCTCTAACTTCTGGATGGGAGAAGGCTGTTTTTAGGGAACAAACATACTGGGGTTTTGTTTGGATCTTGGTTTCCATGTGTTTATGATGTATTTATGTGTTCTTGTGTTTGCATGTGCACATGGACACCTCTGGCCAATGTCAGGCGTCTTCCTAGATTGGTCTCCACTTTATTTTTTTCAAGACAAGGGCTCTCAGTAAATCCAGAGCTCATTTATTCAGCTAGGATTTATGTCTAATGGGTTCCAGGGATCTGCCTGCCCCTCCTCCTGAGTGCTTGGATTAGATGCAACAGCTGCTATGCTGGGTGCTGGAGATCCAAGTTAATGTCTTCATGCTTGCTGACCAGGGATACTGAAATCTGTTCTGATTTGATTGAGTGGTCAACATCTATTCATTAAGCCAATCATAGACAAGAGTCCTTACTCAGTTTTATCATAATTCCTTTGGTCAGAACAAACTCTATAGGTATGCTGAGTCAGGAAAAATCGACTCCAGCCAACTAAGCCAGATGACTGATCTCAGCTTCCCATACAGCATAAGGCAGGAGCCTCAACAGCTCAGAGGAAAAAAGCACTGGTCCCACAGGGTCATGCTCAGTTTATAGTACCCTCCTTTCCCAAGTTCTCCTTCCTTCCCTCCCTTCCCTCCCTTTAAAAAAAACAAAAAAACAAAAAAAACAAACCTGAGCTCCCTGATGGAGAAGTCCCACCATCAGGGAAGCTCAGTGTGTTTATTTTACACAGTTGAACAGGGAGGGGAGGTTATTGCACACAGCTGAACCAAGGGGGCGGTGTACTGGTGTACAGCCCAGTCAAGGAGGCAAGTTTAGCATTTCTGTACAGGAGCAGTCTTCAGGCCAAAATCATCTGGGAGGATAAAGCTATCTGGGTGTTTTCTACACATACTGTCAACATTTGCACTAGGACCAGGAAGGAAGGCTTGGCCATTTCCCATGGGCCCAAGGCACTGGGTCCTTGATATGGCCATGTCTGTGTCAACAACACACAATTCACTCAGGCTTTTGCACACCCGAAGCTTTCTCCACTCCCCACACAGAAAACAGGTATGACAGAGAGAACAGTGCAAAAAGGCATTTGGCATTAAAAAAATAAATAAATAAAAATAAAAACAAAACAAAAGAAAGAAATATTAGGGAGTCACTTGCCCACAGAGAGAAAGAACTTCTGATCTTTAGCCTGCCCCTTGTAATCAATAATGGTGACATTTCAATCTCAAAAATAAAAATAAAAATAAATAAATAAAAATAAAAAAGCCAAGTTATAATGCAGTAACCAGACTTCATGGAAGAATCCATGCCAGCCAGCCAGACCTCATCTAAGAATATAGAAAGCATTCAACATTGTGTAAAACCCTGTAACAATGCAGGATTTTTTTCTTTTGTTCTTTCTTCCCTCCTTTTTAACTTCTTTGAGATAAGGTCTCATGTAGCCCAGAATGGCTTCAAACTCACTTAACCAGCAAGTGAGCTGCAAGCTGCCTAAATCTCTATTTGTAGTTAGAGGATGGTTTTGAATTCCTGATCTCCTAGCTGCCTCTCGAATGCTAGGACTATGGGTATGAGCATTTTTAGATACATTTGAAAAAGAGTACTAGGTTGCACTGTTGTTTTCAAAACTAAATGGAGTATAAAGGTGGGTTACAAAAACATGAGTCAAGTCTCCAGTTCAGAGACAACGTGTTACATACTTTTATTTATTAAAGTTATCTTTCAAATTGAGTGGAAACCTGAATGTCTGACCAAAGATAATGTGCAACAGAAATCGATGAACAGATCCAATGGCAGCCTGCTACCACATTCATCAAAGTTCTTCTATGATAGAATTCCTGACCTGATGCTTCCTTTCACACTGAGTGTGATGAGTGAAAAGCCATTTCTATGAACCATTCCTGCCATCTGTTGTGACCTCTGGAATACATTTGCCACTGAGTACAACTCACTCAAAGAAAAGAGTTAACCATTGTATACTCAATTTCCACTTGCCACCCCTCAAACAGCATTTCCCGAAACATGTTTCAGGGAACTCTGCAAATCAGGATTCTGTTTGTCATTGATTAAAAAAGATTTGGGTTAAAATGAGAAAGAAAGCACCGAGTGACCAAGGTGCCCCACGGCAGGCTTTCTGAGAACCTACATTATATAAGTCACAAGGAGAAAAATTAAAACAAACACAGATTTGAGGCCCTTTATAAGCCCAATAATGTAGAACTGTAATTTTTTTAATAGAATATTTTCAGAACCAGGATACTATAGATAAATCAAAAGGAAAAATACTTATGGCATTTAACAATTATGCTATATATCACTTTAGCTTGGTTACTCAGTGCTTTCTTTCTCATTTTAACCCAAATCTTTTTTAATCCATGACAAACAGAATCCTCACTTGCAGAGCTCCCAAAGGTAATTAAGGTACAGCAGAACTGTTAAAGGAATTTTTCAGACCTTTACAAGAATTACTATAAAAATACCACAAAATTTTATCAAAATGGGGAGTGTAGCAGCTGTTAAGTCACCTGTCAGTTAAGTGATCTGTAACATGACATACTTTGTGAACTTTCAGGATTGTTGGGAAAATTTGACGTTAACGCTGGGATCATGAGCGTTATTATTAGTTATTATTTTTATTACTAGTTATTATTTCCTTACCTCAAAAGAAAAAAAACAATGAAGAAACAACTAAAAATTTTAGCAATATTTATTTTGGGGATGAGGTAAGGCATACTAAGTGAGAAGTGATTTTCTTTTCCCCTCCACTATTTTCTTAATTTTCCAACCTTTCGAGGAAGGGCATGTATTACTTTTTTCATAAATGTTTTAGTGGAATATAAGACACACATTACTTTCATAATCATAAAAAGTTTACTTGTTAAAAACAATTATTTATTAAAAATAATACCTGTTGTTTTGTCGTGTAATCTGCCAAGATGTTAAGAAGCTTATAAAACACCTCGAACCAGGGGAGGTAGCTGAGGAAGACAAAGAAACACAAGAAACGTTAGCATGCAAGTCAAAAGCCTGAATGAGAGCTTAACCAAACAAAACATTTCAGATTTTCTCTACATCTTCAAGATTCTAGTCATGACTGATATAAACCCAAACTGCTTAAATGTTAATTATTTCTGGGTTATAAAAACATGCCTGTGTGAGGCAGAACACTAATTGTCCATTATGAATTATTCCTGTGCCTCAAAACTAGGTTCTTAGAGAGGAAATTCAAACTAGAGTCTGTAATCAAGTACCATGTTTGAGTAGCGAGGCCTCTCCCACCATTCCTATTTCTCATAACTGGACACACAGCAATGCACAGCATGCCCATTGTTGGCCTCTGTGTTCCATGTGCCCTGTACAACAAAAACCAATCACATTAGTCCATCAGACCTTCCACCTCTACTGTACCTGTGGTATACGGGCTGTAGCATGAATAGATAACTCTGTCCCCTCTGCCATCTAGCAGGTCCTGACTACTGCTCCTCTTAATTCACAGGATGGTCTGCCAGCCGAGTTTATTTGTGAAACTGACCTCCTGTGTGGCTGTCAGAATGGCCTATCAAAAATGGAAGTCTGGATGGATCTTCCAGAGAGGGTAAAGCTGCACAGGCAGCCAGCGATGTGCAGCCTGAGGTTTCTTCCCCCAGCCCTTCTTGACTTCCTGGCACTCAACTCCTCTGATGACAAAAAAGACAAAGTGAACAGGTTGGTCTGGGGGTTAGGAGGTAGCAAGTGTGTGTAGTAGACCTGGGGACCCTGCACCCCCAGCAGCAAGGACATAGACATTTGTCTGAGAGGGCACCTGTGGGCCCAGATCCAGTACATTCCGACACAGGCGCCAAAGTCTAAGGAGGCTTGGTGTAACACCCAGTGTCGGGAGGCCACTTGGTAACCAAGTGAAGAGCAAAGTCAAGAAAGGGAAAGGAAAAGATTTAGGCCAGGCCAAGACGTCAGAGCCTCTTGTCCTCCCTAGGAGGACCCCCTCACCCCGCCCCACAGGTCAAAGAGAGAACCCACTAGTGTCTTCTGTAGTCTTATCAATCATGCCCAGTCTCTGTTCTTTCGCTCTCCACACCAAGTGCCCAAAGTGGGGAGGGACATGGGATTCTGAGAAGCTTAAGCCTCTCCAATGGAGGGCTATGATTCCCAGCACCCTCTTTTTGTTTTTCCCCACTCTGATACCTGTTACTAATGAATAAATAATATTCATTATTATGAGTGAATAAAAGGAACTGACTCCCCCCCACTGCCCCCCCCCCAAATCTAAATCTACATGGCACATTCAGTTACTGCAGTGGCATCCCATTCCTACAGGACCCAGAGTCCATGCTCCTCAGGAGGGCTTTTGTGGCTCTCCCTTCTCAGGATCTTGCCTCACTCCTCTTGCCCCTACTTTTGTGCCCCAATTCTTTCTTTTCCATGGTGCTCATAATACACTACTGTTACAATGTCCCCTCCTACAGCATAGCATTCAACAGCATGGTTTTTTTTTTTTCAACAGACTACACCAACAGAGAAGGAAGCATACCTTCCTGTGCTGTATTCAGCACCAAGACCAAAAATGGAGCTTGGCCCTACATTCTGAGTTCAGAGTTTATTGGGAAACACAAGCACATACATGCACATGCACATACACACACTTAGATGAAGACTAGCAGATAGCAAGGGCCCTTAGAGCCATGGAAAAGTTAGTGAGAATTATCCCTACTCCAAGAAGTATACCCAGCCCCCACTTTAAATGCTTTGTTCTGTCTTAGGAAAACTCCCAAAACTACTGAGAACAGGCATGTGAGAAGCTTGCTGCTCGGGTCTTCTCACTTTTACTCTGCTACGCAAATGGCGTTTGTTACTGATAGGCCTGGACCCAAGGCAGGGCCCAGATGTGACATCCTGCCCGGGAGAAGGGATCAGAACCCTGTACAGATTACTGCTGGACCACTGAGAGTAATAAATGAAGTGAGAGGTAATAGAGAGGACAGATAAAGTGCATAAGCTCCTATCTGTGACGTCTGTCTGAAGCCAGAACATGCTACTGTAAAATTTAAGTAGCTTATCAAAATATACTGATAAGCAACTTAACTTTTCACTTCTATGACAGTATTATCACTTATGTTAATATGTTTCCATCAGCTCTGGCAGCCACATATGGACTCTTCCAGAGCAAATGGCTGCTGCCACTCTCCACAGCACTAGCCCTGGCAGAGCAATGTAAACATTCAAGAGGGATTAGGCACGAGATAACATGCTCCCTTCCTCTTCTGCTAAATAAACCTTCATGAGCTAAAAGCCATTAGAGTAGAACAAGAAATGCACTCCCCCACCCCCAAGCAAACCATACAGATTAGAGGACTCTTAGTAAACAAATCCAACCTGGAAGAAAATACCACTAGGTAAAGCCAACAACTGGGAAGCAGAAAAGAGGAAAGGGACAAACGGGAGATGCAGAGGAAAGCAAAAACCAGCTCCTTTTATGAAGAATACAGGAAGCAGTACAGTAGGGCTGCCTGCTTCTCTCAGGCTTTGGAACTAGAGTGCATACTAAAGTAGTTTAGGACAACCAGTCAACTCACAGAGCCTGGCAGACACCCTGCAGCCTCAGTAGCCTCATCTGGTGAGGACTGTCTGGCTGACAGAGCCAGTCCACTTCACTCTACCAGCTTCTGCCTCATCAAACCAATTCCTCTGGTTATGGTGGGCAGAACCATTGGCCATGGACTGCTCGGTAGTTAGCTATCCGGAAGCCGGGCATTTCTCTCTCCTTCTGGCCTGACCAGATACAACTGTTCCCCACATGTTGTCCCCTGTGTGCTGACAGATGAATGTCTAGTGATGGCAGTGCTAGCTAGGGTTCTGAAACCAAGCTGCAGCTGTCTTCTCCTTTAAAGTGTCCAGCTTCCCCAGCTAGAAGGCCCACGGTTCACAGCTGCGCTCTGTCTGTTGGCACTTCCTACCCTGCTTCATTAGTGCTTGCACCCAGCCGCACTACCCGGAGGCTGCAGGTGAAGACATGCAGCCCCCACTCCATCCTGTGCATGTCTGTCAGCAGAAGGTAAACACTGCTTCCCAGCTGACAAGTGCCCTATCAGATAGCTCCTCCCTGGCCACCTTCAGGGTCTCAAATTGTCAGGTCGGGTGCACTTGCACCGTCCTGCAGGAGAGCACCATGTGGTGGGCCCAGTCTGAGCACTGGGACTAAGATGACAAATGACTAGGAAGCTCTGGTCCAGAGAAGAGATGAACATCGGAGAGGGTGTCTAGGTGGGAGAAGCCAGCTATCCTTCCCAAGCACTGCTACTTCAGACTTTTGGAGTGACACAGATCCTAATGGATCATTATCACGACCCCGTCAACAGAGAGGGAAAAAGCAGAGGAGACCTGCCTCACAGCTACCAGTCTGGGTCCACACACCTCTCCCAGTTCAGGTAGCTTGGTCCTCATGTCAATAGGGAAGCGCTGTTTTGTGGGAATCCACAGAAAATCTTAAAGAGTTGTAGTGCCACAGAAACCTCTCCACGTGGCATGATGAGTATTGTGGGCATGGAGGCAGTGCAGCCTGGGTTCCAGACATCCCTTTAACAATAGCCCACTTCACAACCATCCTTAAATGGCCCCATGGTGCAGCAGCCATGGCCTGTATGGACATAAACCAACTAGCCTGAGTGTCAGCACAGGCTGGATGAAAACCTTCCACTTTTCAACATGTCAGCTGGATGAACTGCTCCCTCCAGAACTGATCTTAAGAACTGAGTCTAAATGAAGTCAGACTCTGTCTTCTGATCTCCCTTCACTAAATGGATGGTTAGGATAGCCATCTTGCTGAGGGATGTGTGTGAGATATGTCTGCATCCAGTTAACCACTAGAGAGAGAGAGAGGAGAGAGAGAGATATGAGAAGGGTGTCTATGGTAGGAGGAGTTGACAGTTCCACCTAAAGTGTCAGTCCAAATAGAGTGAGGGAATGCAGCCATGTAGGAAGGAAAGTGTAGCAGAAGCCTGGTGACATACAAGGGAAGTGATCAAATAACTAAGCATACAATAGAAACCAAGGATCTTGATATCAGACATGTGAATTAGAAATATGGTTAGAGAAGAAAGAAGAATGAATCCTGGTTAGATATGATTGTGAAATAATGGCACAGAGAGGTACAAATAAAAATACAAATGTGCACATTCAGATCACAACACACACACACACACACACACACACACACACACACACACACACAGTTTCTAGATTGAATGACAGAAAAGGCCTGTGACAAGAGATGCTTCAATTATAATGGGCACCTTCAGTGCCTAGATGTGGACTTCCAAATAGCATTCTCTATTAAGAATGAGGGTTCTCTGAAGAAATGTCTGTTTCCAAGGCCGGAGCTAAGAAATACTTTGTGCCATAAGAAGCAAGGCAGTGTTCAACACATGGTCAGAACGTATCAACAGGACACAAAAGTTGGTGAGAGGGCGCTCCTCCTTACTGACAGAATCTCTGACAATCTGAACATCAAAGCACATAAAAACGAAGGGATTATATGGAGTCCAGGCAGATAAAAATGACAAGTAGAATATTTGCTGAGTGATGGGGCTATTTGCACAGTCTGAAAGTAAGTCTTCTCAATCAAATTATCCATCACAGGGAAACAGACAGGAAAACCCTAAGGTTACAACCTTCATCAAATAACAGAACAGAACAAAATAGTGTGTCACCAGACAGATGCCACAGAAAACAGCACAACTTTATCACACCCTTGACGTGGAAGCGGAGCCTCATCTCAAGAAAGCATCAGATAAACAGCACAGAGAACTATTCTCCAATACTAGAACCTGGCTGTCCTGTTCATAAAGGAGGAAACACTGAAGAACCGGGCCAGAATGAAGCACTAATAGATGCAATGTTAATTCTGAACCCGATTTCTTAAAAACATGAATAGGAACTGTCCAAAGATTTCATTAACTTTTTCATTTTTATGACTAGCATAGTTATATAAAAGAAAACAATGTTTTTAATGCATAATAAAGTGTTTACTTTTATTAGTTATCACTTTAGCAATATATCTCAAATGGGTGGAAAAAAGCATCCCTTTGTGTTGAGCTTCCTTTTTTTCCCCTATAAGTCTGTTAGTATTTAAAACAATACACACAGAACAGTATCTTCCTCCATCAAAACCAGTGTAAGCACACCAACTAGAGTGTATACTGTAATAAGCATGGCCGAGACTGGGCACACAGCACTGAGAGAACAGTGCTGGCAGCTATACAAGTTGCTCTGTTTCTCAGAGGCTGGGTTCTGAATGAGCTGCAACCAAGTGCTGGGAAAGTGGGAAGCAGTGGGCACAACAATCAGTACAAACAGAAGAATACCTCTCACAGACAAGGGCTGGAGCAAGGACAATGGTGAAGGGCAGAGGGCAGGCAGGGCTGGACTCTGAAGGACTGAACTAATGGGCTTCATGGTTGCTGAGCACCTGAGATGGGGAGGTACCAAAGAGACAAGGAAAGAGAAGTAACATCCTGGTGATGAGTATTTAAAACTAGCAGAAAGTGGCTACTTCTCTCTTAGTAAACTCAGTTCTATCAGAACCAGTGTCTTACTTGCTTTCCTGAGAGGGAAATCTTAGCTAATGTAATCCAGTCATCCTTAAAACTTGAAAAAGATCAATAAAATACCCTGGCTCTAGTTTAGAAGAAAATAATAAAAGGAATTTATTG